TAGAATTATACGCGCTTTTTTCAAACAATTCATTTTTTAAGTCTACAGAAAGAGCTGAGATTAATATTTACACAATAAAATATAAAATATACGTTCGATTAATTTTTCGATGTATACATTTTAATATTTTTATTGTGATAAATATTTAACCAGAGAAACTCATCAAATTCATCCCACAATTACCATGATTTTTTCAGGGTAAATTCTAAGAGAAAATTCTTTCCGTGTATCTTTCAAAAAATTGTTAAACGTTTAACAATAAGATAAGAGAGTGGCGACCGAAGGGAGAATCTTGGAACAAGAACGCGATCGATGATGTGCGCGCGCGAAGTTTACGTACGTGTATGTGGCGTACAATTCGCGCGTGCGGGACAAATTGCACGACTTGGTTTGCACGCCCGCGAGTCACGCGACTCGCGTGCCTCGATCTCACGTCCCCGTGAAAATTGGCACGCTATGCCGGAACGCACGGCGGCGAATCGGTGGACGAGCCGCAATTTTGCCAGCGAGGCTTCTCGCAATGCTGCGCAAGGTCTCGCTTTCGCTAGCTGGTGGCTGCGGTGAATTTCGCCGACGATTCGAACAGATTAATTCCACTAGCTCGCTTTCGAGCTCAGCACATCCAGCTCTAACGCGAACCTTTCCATTTTTTAATATATGTATTTATATTTCATTAACACGTATTAATATATATTTTACACATTTTTAATAATACATTTAAAAAAATATTTAATTTTTTAAAATAAGGTATGTCTTTTCTATATTTAATAATGTATTAATAAAATATTTCATTTTTTCAAATAAAATATATCTTTTCTATATTTAATAATAAATACACTTGCAATATATATTAATAAAAAAAATCAAGTTGAAAATCGACTAAAAAAATCTGAAAATTTTAGTCTGAAAAAAATTAGACAAAGTATTGATTGTACTTTTAAAGCTGTACATTTCCGATTTCGTGAGAACAAAGTTGAAAAAGTTGCATCGGCGCCATTAAAGTGCATCGTTACCCCTCGCCGCGTTGCAGCGCGATGTTATTTATATCTCTCGCGCCGGTTGATTTTATTTAATGCAACTCGAGTCTTCTCGCATTGACGCCGGTCATGCGCAATGCGCCGACTACTAGCAAAGACAATTAGGGCCCACATTAATTAAGGTAATTGCGCCGCACGAGCACAGCCTCCTACAAAATGTCCTCTCCGGATGTACGCACTTAAACCCCGCCTAACTACTGATTATAATAAATTTCATACCCATCCCGACATGGTGTTCGATCCATCTTCATCCCACAGTTCGTGGTAATGTATCTTTTTCTTGAAAAAATATCGATAGCTTGTCATTAATTATAAGAAGCAGAAATAGTGTTGAGCGGTTCTACTTTTTATTCTTCTGTCAATTTTTATATTTATCTGAATATAAAAAAAATTATCTCAAAACTTATTAAAAGATTTCCACATATATTAGTGTATAAATTGTTTCAGATATTTTTTTCTTAGAAATCCTAAAATTGAAAAGAACTCAAAGTGTAATTAAGATATATATAATGAGATATGATTCAAATAATGTTCGCTCTCTATTCTAGAAACTATTTGTTATTGGGGTGGATTAAAGTCTCGTGAATTCTCGTGTGTTTTGTATTACGATGATGCGATCTACTGATAATTCTGGCAAGAGAAACGACAATTCTCTGGCAGCGATCCCGTCATCGACTTCGGAGCAACTTCGTGCAAGGGACCATCCGCCCGTTTGTCATCTAATTTTCACGCACGATTTCTCGCCATCCTCGACCCGATTATCTTCGCGACCGTGTACTCGTATATTAGCCGTGTCGGCAAAAGTCGATGAAAGAATCGCGAATAACGTGGAGCTATTTGCAAAAGATTGACGAAGATAGAAACGTGGCCTCGGTGCTAATAGATAAATAAATTAACAGACTTGCCAAAATTATACCGATATTCTGTATCATATCATTTTTCCCAACATTCGGTGAAATTACGAATTTTGCAAAATTCATCAAAGGAATTAAAGTTTCCATCTATTTTTCCCCGTCAATTTTAAATTACTAAAAGTCTTGCCCATTATGCATTAAATTTTGTTAATAAGAATAGTTCGAAAATATATATAAGTTTGAAACTTTTAAAAGTCGCACGATTACAATAAAATTCGATATTCTTATTAAGAAAAAGTAACATTAAATTCCAAAAAAAAAGAATAATTTGAGAATAATTTTTGATGCATACTAAATAAATAATGAAGCACAAATTATAAAATCAATTTCGTAGACCACAGCGAAACGATACTTCAAAACGGCGCAGAACACGAATAATAAATGTTCCAAAACATACACGTACGGACATACACAACAATGACCTAACAGCAAGTCTATTAATAGAAATTATAAAAATCGATGTGTAGGTCAACCTCGCGCGCATTAATATATCGAATAAAATCAACGCGTAAAAGAGAGAGTACTGACATTTAATATTTATAAATGACACCGATATTTAGTTAAATTAGTTAAAACCTAAACCAAAAAGAGCCCCATCATCTATCATCAAGTGTTTTATCTTCACTTAATGCACATTACTATCTTCACTTTCACATGTCTTTAATTGAAAAAATATATATATAAAAATATGTAAAAAAAAACTTTTCATTATAATTTTTAAACATATGTTCGTGCGCGAAAATTTTTCTCGGAAATTAAAATGTATACATATATGTGTGCGATACTTTATAAATAAAATATATGTAAAACTATCATGGAAAAATCCACAGGAATTTTATTATAAATTTGTAATTATACGGTCATTTGCTTCCCCTTACCCAGATATAGCTGACTTCTCCGAAACATCGCGTTGCAACAACTATTACAATTTTTTGCCATTGCATGCGCGACGCTGGCTGCATAATTAAACGATTCGGGATAGTCCTGTCACGCGAGGAAAATTACGTTCGCCGCTTTAGCCAGGTCAGAAAAAAGGTAGGTCGTTCGATCGCACTATGTAATGGGTTATAGTCGGTAGATTATGGTGTCAGAAATTCTTCTATAGTATTGTATAGATCAAAGAAAGCCCTAGTTTCATTGATCCAATGACCTTCTTAATTTCTTTTACATCAATTGTAAATATACATATTACATGTATATGTAATAAAAGTTACTCAGAAATCATATATAATTACACACTGTAAAAAAATATGTAATATATTACACAAAAATATGTAAAATTACATAAATAATAAGTGTAAAATTACACGATAAATAATACTAATGTTTACATTTCATTATTTATCATGTAATTTTACATTTATTATTTATGTAAATTTACATAATTTTAATGTAATTTTACAAATTATTTTTACAGTGCATGTAAAAACGAACAATGTATTTATAGAGAACTAGTTCCGCGTTTCAGCATAAAAAATTACTAAGTCTATTAATGATTAATAAGATTTTATATTCATATCACCTCTGCATTTCCTTCTTTACTCTTGATAATTTAAAAACAAGTTTGCAGATAAAAAAAGCATCTTTTTGTACGTTATCTATAATACGAATAAAAATAATTGACGTCTTTTCAGTTTAGATTTAGATATATCCTTCAGGCTTATAAATGAAAAAAGCGGTTTAAAATTAGAGCGTGTTTATTTAAAGATTTGATCGATATGATGACGAAGTATATTTTATAGATATCTCTATAGATCTCTCTTTGATTCTAATCACCAAGACACAAAAGAAAAGAGTCATAGGTACATTTTTTGCCACTCGTGTTTCTGGCCGGTGGCCGGTTACTAAGATTAGACGAACACTTGCTATATATAGGGTGACATTTATATACGTTGTCTCTTAAAACATGAACTTACACACGTGTGCTCATGCTACCTCTTCCGCTTTGTCGAGCGAGCTTTAAGTCGACATTTTTAAACAAAAGCTTAATTCAGAATTTTTCAACTTTATAAAGGTAAACTCAGATTCCTAATCTCTTACAATCAAATTCAATAATCATTTTTTTTGTACCACTCGTATTCAATATTATAGATTGGTCAAATATACCGACAATTCCATTTTCTCAATTGATTCATTATTAAATAACTGTAAATGTTAATCATTTATTCAAGATCCATTTTCAATGAAAATATATGCACTTAAACTTTATATGGATTCAATAACATAAATAAGAAAATTTCCGGTGTATTCACAATCTATCTTACTGAATGCCTAAATAGTAGCAGAAAAAATAATTTATCTCTAACGTGTGAAAAAAAATCCACACGATTTCTTGCTTGTAACATCGTTAAATATGGTTGCAGTGAGATATCGAAAATCTTAAGCATAATTAGATAACATTCTGGCAATCAAATTAATTCTTAATTAAATATAAATTTAATTAAGCAAAAATCATTTAAATCTTTTCATTTTTACATAAAAAAAGAAAGAAAAAATATTGAATAAATATTATTTGTTAGACATTTAAAATTTATATAAAATTAATTTTAGAATTTTATCAAAAAAATTTAAATATATATTTTTTTTAAATAAAAATACCAATTTATATATTTTAAATCATTTGATAAATATATTTGATAATATTATTTGATAAATATTAAATAAGCAATATTAAATTTAGTATATTACTGTATATATAGCATTAAATAATAATTAATATATTGAATTATTTAATTGTTCAAATATATTATTTAATATTTGAATTACTTAATTATTCTATTTAATTATTCAATAACTAATATATCAAATTTAATATGCTGTAGATATGTTATTAGCCTCCAATTTATCATAATTGAGAATTGAAAATAAAGATAAATATGCACAAAAGAATGTAAAAGAATGTAAAAACTTGTTTACAGTCCTTTTTTAAGAAGGGCTTTCTAAGAAGTCAAAATGTAAGAACATTCTTTTGCGAAAAGGAGAAGGTCTTTTTGAAGACCCCAAAAATAATCAGTTTAATATTGTTAAGCACACGTTCTTTGATACGTACCTAGATGATTCGGGTGGTGCATATTGTAATTGGTAGTACCATAGTCCAGGGCCATATGCTACACTCTTAAGTAGTAGTATATCCACCGAGATATTTAGTATCCACTGCGAAGCACCATCCGGATCTTAACACCAGTTCTCACACTCGCAAACGTAAACACCGCGATTATTTGATCGTCACGACACGCGGAGATTCATGTTTTCCAAAAGACAAATAATTTATTTAACCACCACCTCGTCTTATCGGCAAGATTTTTTTTTGTGTTCGTCGCTCTCTACCACTTTTTTCGCATGTCCAAGAGATGATCTAGAAAGAGAATAAAGGAGAATCATCAATTCATCTGACGTAAAACAAATCAATATCGTAAACAAACTATTTTTGTTGATTAGATAAGAGCAGTAGAGTTCGATCCATTAATAATGAAATGATATTTGTTATTACTTTATCCTGTTTCGACTATCTTTCAAAAATCTTCATTGCAAAAGAGAAAGAAAAGTAATTCTTTTTCAAGTTATAATTTTCTTTGTGTAATTCTGTTTAAAAAAAAAAACACAAGGTTGTTCTTTTTTGCGCTTAATTAAATTTCATATTTGTTGTTACGTATATTTGCAGATGCAACGTGGAAAAAAATCTGCGCTAATCCAATATATTAAAAGTATATACAATTGTAGCTGTTATACGTATATATATGAAAGATTTGGATCGAAGAAACTGTGAGCAACGTCCGCGTGAGTATGCCAAAGAATGAAAATCTAATTTTGCATCTCTGACAAGTGTCAAATGTCCTTGCCAACGATGATGATCGCGGTGGTCGAGGCACGTGTTCAACAGCGTTCTGCCGAATCGAATACATCGTATATTTATTTTTCTGACGCTAGCTGGTTATTTAAAGGTTAAATAATAGCGCTGCTCACGTTCAATTTCGTAGCCTCACCCTTCCTCTTTTTTTCCTCTCTCTTTCTCTCTCTCTTTCCTCAACATTGACGCGATTAATACGTAATCGGCGATTTCACGCATGTGCTTGGGATGCATGATTGATGATAAAACAGTGTCGAGGAGCGGCGAAACACGAGACGTTATAGAATATCTCGATTCTCTCGTCGCCATTTATACGCTCCCCCTTTATATGTACGATCGATTGACGGCGAGAATAAAATATTGGTCGCGTGATAAGTCATGGGTCTCTTCATTTATCAAGCAAAGTATTGACTGATATAACGTTGCGGCATATAAATTTTGCGCAACAACAACGTAAATTTATACCTTCAAAGTTGCCGAATCATGTCGACAAAAATTCTTTCAATGACGTCTATAAAATGTGTCTGCAAGATTTGTAAACTAAACGCTATTAATAATAATTTACAAGTCGTTCCGCATATTTCTCGTGTCGTCGAATATCGAATGATCGATATGTGTATATAACTGCGAGAGAAATTTAAAATATTCACAACTCTTGCGATTCTCTCATCAGATGAGGTTGAGAAAATGCGGAGAGATCACGTGGGAAGACGAGTTGATCTTTCTCGATTTAAATGCGAGCGAAAGAGAGATCAATGACCGCATAATAAATATAAACCGTAAAAGGATATTAAGCTAAATGTCTTCTCCGTTTATAGTGTAATGCAAATGTTATTACTTCTATTAAAATTGCGATGGAAAATTTGTTTCTTTTCTCGGAGCAGAATATATTTTTATTTTTGTTTTCATTTTTTTCTCGCTCGAAAATAGTAAGTGAATCGAAAAGTGAGTCTTCTTTCTCTTCATAAATATCAGAATTTCTGCATTATACATTAATTGTATATATATAAAGCGACTATGTTGCATAATTGCAAAAGCACAATTTTAATAGTTTGTCATTAACGATAATGTCGAATGCAAATGTCAAATGTAATAATCTCGTTTTGCAAAAAAAAATTTTACAAAATATATTACAAAAACATACATATTTTATAAGTAGAATATTGAATAAATTAAAACACGTGTGTATATTTTTGGATTTAACTGCATATATTATACATATATTTCTCATTTTTATGCAATAAATTCTTATATATTTTTTATTATATAAGACATTATAACGGGATCCATCTCTCTTTTCCTTAATTCAATATCTAAAATCTATATCTGAGTTTATCGTGAGAATGAATATAAAGGAAAACAAATTTAGCTCCTATTGCTTAATCGTTACTCAACGTGTTATACAATTCGATCTGTTATCGACGTGATAGATTCGTTTGTCATCGATTCGAGCGATAGGTGAACGAAAGCGGAAAGGGGTTTCGAGGCTGGAGGATGGAATGTTTGAGAGAGGCAAGTATAGTTGACCATTCACGTCGTAAATTGATCCCTTGACTTCGCCTAAGTGGCGCGAATGACTGTCATGACGTCATCCCGCGTTTTCTTTTCTTCTCTTTTATCGTAAACCTTTTCGACCCGTGGACAAGCTTCTTTCTCGCCGCTTAATCGACGATGTTACTTTATTAGTCGTAAATTCGTCACGATGAAAACTTACATTCTTTCTCGATAATTTTAACTACGCATCCATAGGTAGCGCGTGAGATAAAAATATTTATTCGCGGTTAATAAATAATTTAATTTACCCATAATAATTATGGTGAATATTTTTGTAAAATAATTCGATAAAAATATGCATTGTTTTGTTGTCCAAGCGAAAAGATTGATCCGAAGGAAGAAAGAGCAACAGCATTTAAGAGAAGCTATCGAGATTATCGCAAAAGGATTTAGTTTGCAAATCTGCAAATTTGCATAAATAAATGTTAACAATGGCGCGATTGAGATACGATTTTTGCGACGGAAATTCTAGGCGCAAAGTTGTAAATTTAAAGAGCAAGAAAAAGATGAGCGAAGAATAAAATTCGACCCTGCTATGTTGGGTAGCAATAATGTTGGATTTTGTCGAACAACTTGCATGTATTATGAAAAGATTTAAGGGGCGTATATTGTTATTTATGATTGTGTATGGAAATCATTGTTGGAAATGGAAAGGATAATATAAATGACCCAGTTAATCCTCGCACTATTCAACACAAAAAAGGTTCGATTCTCTCGTGCAGCCATATTCGAACTGCATTCTTTGCCAAACGGTTCGCATTCCTCGAATATTGTGAACATCGATTTTATGTAAAATCACGGAATAAAATCGAATTATACGAAATTCTTATCACACAAAAAATTTAAAAAATAATAATAATATTGTAAGCCGTATATACAAGAGCAATTGAATTACAATTTCAAATATATATTATACAATTTTTTACTATTTAAAAATTATATTTATTATTTAGAATTATATGTATTGCTAGAAGGTTAAATTTGCTGCTAGAAAAATATCGTACTAAATATAATATTGAATACCACAATTGCATATACTTAAAAGGAGAAAAACCAGCTTAAGATACGCAATTTACAGCAATATTATTCATCAAAATGTTTCTCGCTTCGTCATTAGAAAAGGATCAAAGCATGCTTTTTTTGGGGGGACGTCTATGATTATCCGATCTGAAAAAAAAGGTATAGATTTCGAAGATCTTGGAATTAAACGTGACATACACACACGCGGATCTCCCGATCGGCACCCTAGATTATCGATAGATCGATCGATCTTTATCTCTTTTTCTCCGCGGCGACCAATCGTGAATGCTCTTCCCGTTGCGGTGGGGAACCTGTACCATTAGCGGGATGTTGAACTTGCCTTTAACTTGGCCGCCTCTATACACGAGGACTCCCCGAGAGCGCCAAAGGCGATTATAATGGCACGCCGAAGATTAAGGCGCGTTGGCGACCTTCCTCTCATATTGCGGACGAAAGGAGATGCGCATGATCGCCGCATTGCGTTCTATTAATCTGTCGTAAATAAAAATTTTCCCGAAAAAAAAAACGGGAGAGAGAGAGAGAGAGAGAGAAAGAAAGCACACAAAAAATTGAAATAATGAAAATTAAACAATTCTGAAAAATGATGGAAATTAATGAATGAAGGAATAGAACTCTTGCACAATGATATAAATAATGTAACGTGTAATAATTGCTCATTGAAAAGAGAGTTCACATTTTAATCATATCATTATTATTAATTTAAATAAAATTTAAATTCAAGCAATCTTTGCATTTCCAGAGTTTTTATTAAACATGTTTTGCCATAAAGATTTTTTTTACTATTAGTAAGGGCCAGTTCCAACTCTTGATAAGTTTTACCCGACAGGTAGTCTCATATCTTCGTCTCTGTTTTTAGAATTTATTTGAAAAGATATGAAATTATGCTACATGTCGGGTAAAACTTATCAAAGAGTTGGAAAAATCGGCTCTAAATAAAATGAAGTTAGAAGACGATATTTCTATGAAAGAATGGATTACAATATATGAAAAGGAATTTACCGAAATTAAGATTGATGTTCTGGACGCCTTACTATAAATAATATTTAATAAGTCAATGATCGTTTGTTTTGCAATGCAAAATTGTGATTAAATTAGTAACGCGCGAGATGACACGTGAGATGTGTATTTATCGCGTGATCTAAATCAAAGACATTCGAATAGAATTCGATACACGTGCCGAGAGATTTGGCACATTTAGACGACGCAAAACGATAAATATAGATTGTCGGGTCAGATTAGATCGTGGCCCTCACAAATTTAGTCGTATCCGTTAAAAGCCTGAGGCTAGATACACTTAATATTAACATTCAAATTGTGTTGAAAGATATGCAAATAATTCATTCTAAAAGTTCTAAAAATATTATGTGAAAATTAAATGCTTTTTTGTACATTTTGACATGCAATTGATATGCAAATTGTTAATGAATTGAAATATCAAGAAATATCAACTTTAATCACTTAAAAGTAATATAAATATATAATTGATATTACTAGATTTCAATTATTTATAATTTCGCGTGATTTATTAAAATCATGATATATTTTGAAATGTAGAAATTGAATGGAAATTGAATCAACATCGTAGAAGTTTTTTTTTCATACAAGTTCTCTCATGTAGAAAACTATATACATTTATTCGTGAATAGTACGAGAACACGATCCGCGTGGTCCAGTTCTATATTGGCAATCAAAATAATAAAACTACTTCCGCTTATTCGGCCGAGGAAAACAATTTATATACGTTTTATCGTTTCACATCGTTTTACGCGATCGAGGTAGAGAGGATCGATGGCTTTGTATCGAAAATCCTATCGATATCTCAGACGCGGCAGCGGAAACTCCATGAGAAACGCGGCATGTGATGCGAAAAGGCTATAGACTATAGATGTTGTGCATATGCGGAATCGTGTGAC